TTTGTTAATTCATTCGCTTATTTGTTGCATTGGAAATAACTTTTTAGACCCATATACCCAAACTATATTTCGCATTGCTAATATCATATATATATTTAGTTAAATCCTATCTGTTAACATCATTTCGCTTTATCCATAACTTAGAGAACATATGACTTAAATGTAGAACAATATTTCTGTGGAATATTTTGCAAGTCAAGATTAAACCTAGTTTGCCCTACTTTTCTCCACTAATATTTTTTAGGAAGTTTTGTCTAGTGGACTTTGTGCTCCATCCTTATTCGCTGTGGCCATATCTTCTAATACCAGATATATTCACAGAAGTTTCGCCAGTATCATCACTGTAAAGTCAATGGAAAAACTAAATAACTTATCGAAGAGGCCAAGTTATCCTCATCGGTGCTCCAAATAAAATATCTAAAGTGCACTCGGCAATTGTTTTGAAGATGTTTGCAGCCACCGGGGATTCGCGAATTCGAATATTCTGCATTTTTCTAGTCGATCTTCTTAGATTGTAAATATTATGACTAACCAAGCATATAATGGAATATAGAGTTCTGATATCTTATAATAGATCTCCCTTTTTTACTCATACTGATTGATTATAGCTGACAAATATTTTACTGCTTTTTTATGCCTCAACATTATTATCTGCCGTATCTCTCACAGACCGAATCATGCGACTCTTCCATTGACCAACCGACGGAACGTCGCAAACCTCGGTGGCATGAAGCCTCTAATCGATCTCTCCATCAGGGCTCAGAGCTCGGTTTCCAGACTATGCCGGTGTCACTACCTGACTCTCAACGGCCTAAGCGGCCCCAATGCCATCAGAAAAATGACCAAATAGAGCCTGATTCCATCCGTCTAGCATCAGACCACTCTAGCATGATTACTTCGTTCTGCCTGGCCGACGCTAAGCTTGAGCCGGTGACCACTTGGCTCAGTCGGACGAGGCAGTGCGTTGCCAACCAATCAGTTAACATCTCAACCGCTTCTAGGCTTGCTGATAATGCTGCTACTGAACCACGAAGAAGCCGTCTTCGTCGAGGTGAACGACGTGAAAACAATGAAGGAATTTATTTACCATTTTGGATGTCCTGCCAGGTTACCTTAGTGGTGATTCGATTGTTAGTGGGCTCGTTGGATGTATGTCTATGTA